GGATCCACCGGGACAATTTCCCTGGAATTTAACACCTTAAATAGCTTTAATTCCAAGCATTTTGAACGAGCGATGGGAAAACCCTGGAAGCCCCGTTGTTCCCAAGGCTGTGGGTGCTTCTCCCAAAATTTTGCACGCCCAGATTTGGTGCAGAGCCTCAGGAAGGCTCTGATATTCCTGAGAATGGTCAACGCTCATTCCATGAGTGATCCCAGGAGGAATTCCGAGCCATCCCGAGCTTCCGCGGGATGCTGAGCCCTGCTCCCTGCAGGAGTTGGGTTAAAGCGGCGCGGGGGTGGCACGGAGGGGTCGCTGTCACCCCCAAACCCTTCCTGTGTCACACCTGGTGTTCCCGGGCACGGAAAACATCCTGGGGGTCTGCTCTGCTTAATTCCGGCTGAAATCACGGGAAAATTCCTAAAATCTCGGCAAGGAGCGGGTAAATCCCAGCCCAGCGAGCCAGGATCTCCTAGGGGGCTGCACCCCCTGTGTGACCCCCACGGGAGCAGCGGGATCCAGAGCAGGATCCCACCCAGTGGATCCACAGCCAGATCGCAGCCAGGGGATCCTGCAGCTGCTCCCGGATTCCTGAGGCCGCTTGGATTCAGCTTCCCTGGGTCAGGAAGTGCTGGCTTTGCCGCTGGAGCCAGCGCTGCCAGGATTGCCACCCCACCAGAGCCTCCCTCCAGCCAGGTCCCCCCATTCCCAGGATTGTTCCAGCCCCCACCCCAGAGGTGCTGGAAGCGTTCAGGCTCCCCAGGCTCCTGTCCAGGAATCCTCTGCGTTCTTCCTCACTCCGCAGGGCACAAAATGGGATCCTGATTCCCTGGTGAGCCCCCCAGCCAAGGCAGCTCAGGAACACACCCAGAAATCTTTTCTCCGCTCTCCCAAAATTCCCATTTTTTGCTGAGCGGCCTCTGAGCTGTTAAAAACTCTCCAAGCCCACGTCAGCCTCATTGCTGAGCCGTTTTTTCCCCTCTGGAAGTTGGAAGTTGGGTGAAAGGAAAGCCATCATGTCCTGAATCCCCACATTTTCTGCTTTATTAACAGTGCAAGTCATGCACCGTTCGAAGGGGCGGGAACGTGCACAGATCTTGAGTTGTTCTCGATCTTCGGCCAGGAAAACAGGGAGAGCTGAGGAATTGCACGAATTCCCGAGGATTTCGGCAGCTCTGCTCTCCCCCATCCCCTGAGGGAGCAGAATGTGGGCTGGGCATGTCCTGCTCCCAGTTCTCCCAGTTCTCCCAGTTCTCCCAGTTCTCCCAGTTCCGTGCTGCTTTCCCTTCAGGATCCCGGTTTTCCAGCCCAGCTGTAGCATTCCGACGGATCAGGGGGAAGTTGCGGAGGTGCTGCCCAGGCAGACAGCACGGCACATTAATCTGGAGTTCAAATGAACTGCGAATCAGCAAATGGGGGATTTATTTTGCATTTCAAGGCGGCGGAGCTGCTCTCTGGGCGGGCACGGGCGGTGCCGTGCCAGGCTCCGTGCCAGGCTCCGTGCCAGCACCTTCCCGCACCTCCGGAGCCACGGGAGCATCCAGGGCTGGAAAACAGCCTGGGAGAGCCGTGCCAAGGACAGGTGGGATGAGCAGCAGCCTGAGGGATGGGTCTGAGCCACCTGCAGGGCTGGGAATATCAACAGGGAGCAGGGATGGATTCCAGGCTGCTCCTTCCCCTCGCCACCTTCCTCACGGAGAGGCTCTGGAGCTGTGCCCGCTCCCAGAGGAGCACAGAAACGAGGAACAAGTGTTAGCATGGCAAGACACCTCCCCGGCAGCACCACGCTCGCAAGCAGAGCTGCCAGGCTCTGGAAATCTTCAAAAAAAAAGGCCAAAAAACTTGTTAAAATCCCACAAACCGATTTTACCAAAGCAACGAGATCCAAGCAGGCTCCCTCTCCCAGGCTGGGGCTCACTTCGGATAATCTGCAGGCTCCAGCCTTCCCATCCTCCTTTCTCAAAATGGCCCTGCAGCACCGGGGGCTGCGGGCACAGCCCGGGCTTGGAATTGTTTTTGTCCACATTCTCCAGCCGACCTTCAGCAGTCAACGAAGGCCCCCAAATTCCCGGGGCGCTGCTCTGGAGCACAAAGCAGCCGCACACGGCCGAGTTCACAGCGCTCCCCCCGGCTCTCGGCAGCCCTCGCTCCCCGGCCTGAGCCGAAACCAGCCTCAATCAGGGAGGAGAAAGCAGCAGCACCGGAGTCGAACTCCAAACCCCACCGCCCGGAGCTGAGTCCGCATCTCCTCCCTGCAGCCCCCACCACGCTGCTCCTGAACAAGCCCTCTCCTATTCCGGCAGGCGCTGCTCTTCCCGAGCATCCAACAATATCTGCCTGTGTGCCGGGGCGGCAGGAGCCGCGCCGGCCGCGCACCCACCGCGAGCAGAACCCCTCGGACTTCCGCGGCCACGTCCAAATTGGGCGAAATTAAAGAAAAAAAAAAAAAAAAAAAAAAAAAAAAAAAAAAAAAAAAAAAAGCGGGGGGGCGGGCGGTGAGTCTCTAAGTGAGGCTCCCTTCCCGGTGGGAAGCGAATATGGAAGTGTGGGAGCGGACGGGCTCGGAGGAGGCAATGTCACACGAAGCACTCACCGGGAGATTCATGAATCTCCTTCCTCAGCCCCGGGTGCCGGAGCTGCCGGCGGCACCGCACCGCCGCCGAGCCCCGCCGCGCCGCTTACATAACCCCCGGCCCGGCGGGCAGCACCGGGAACGGGGCAGCACCGGGAACCGGGCACCGATCGAACCGGGGCAGCACCGGGAACGGGGCATCACCGGGAACGGGGCAGCACCGGGAACCGGGCACCGATCGAACCGGGGCAGCACCGGGAACCGGGCAGCACCGGGAACGGGGCATCGATCGAACCGGGGCATCACCGGGAACCGGGCAGCACCGGAAACGGGGCATCGCCAGAACCGGGGCAGCACCGGGAACGGGGCATCGCCAGAACCGGGAACCGGGCATCACCGGGAACCGGGCATCACGGGGAACGGGGCATCGCCAGAACCGGGCATCACGGGGAACGGGGCATCGCCAGAACCGGGGCAGCACCGGGAACCGGGCAGCACCGGGAACGGGGCATCGCCAGAACCGGGAACCGGGCATCACCGGGAACCGGGCATCGCCAGAACCGGGGCAGCACCGGGAACGGGGCATCACTGGGAACGGGGCATCGCCACAGCCGGGGCATCTCCGGGGACGGAGCATTGCCAAAACCGGGGCATCGCCACAACCGGGCTATCTCCGGAACCGGAGCTTCACCGGGGCCAGGGCATCACTGGGGCTGGGACATCACCGGAAGCGGGGCATCGCTGGCACCGAAGCATCACCGGGACCTGCCACGCCGCGGCCGGGGCACCGACAGAACCGGAGCATCACCGACAGAACCGGAGCATCACCGACAGAACCGGAGCATCCCCGGCACCGAGGCAGCGCCGGGGCGCGGGGCAGCATCCCGGCGGAGCGGCCGGCTCTCCGCGCCGCTCGGCCCCGGGCGGCGCCGAACCGGGGCCGCCTCGAGGGCGCGGGGGCGAGGGGGAAGCAACAAGAGCGCGGCCCCGGCGCGGAGGGGCGGCGGAGCGGGCGATGCCGCCGGTGATGCGCAAGTCACGGGCGGGGGGCAGCGGGGCCGGGCGAGCGGAGCCGCCCGCCCCACCGCGGGGTTCGCACGCCCCGGCGGAGCCCCGGGAAGTTTGCGGCGCCTTCGCCCCCGCCCCTGGCTCCGCGGTAACAAGTGCGGCGGCCGCGGGCGCGGAGGAGCCCCGCGGAGGCCAGCGCGGCCCGGGACCGGCTGCGGGCCCCCCGTCCCCGACCCCCCGAATCGCACCCCCGCCCCCCGGCCCGGTTTTCTCCGCGAAATGTCAGCGTCTCATGGCAACGGCGCTGCCTCCGCTCAGCCTCCGCCGGCTCCCGCGGCGCGCAGCGGGGCCACGCCGCTCGCCCCCACTGCCCCCGCACCGCCCTTCCCACCCGGCGACAGTCGCGACAAGGTCACGCGGCGCCCCGGACTCACCGTACACCCCTTGGCCGGAGCTGCCCTCCAGCAGAACCGTCAGCAGCCCCAGCAGCCCGATCGCTACATCCATCTTCACGTGAGCATCCACATATCCAGCCCGGCGGGGCGGGGTGGGGGGCAGCGCAGCGCCCGCCGGAGCCCCGCGCTCCGCTGCGGCCGAGCCGCGCACGCCCGCGCAGGCAGGGCGGCGGGGGCAGGCGGCGGGCACCGCGCCGGTCCTCCTCCTCCTCCTCCTTCCTCCTCCTCCTCCGCCTCCTCCTCCTCCTCCTCCCGCTGCGCAGCGGGCGGCGCGGGGCGAGCCGCGCTCAGAGCGAGCCCCCGGCAGCGGCAGCCCCCGCACCCGCACCCGCTCCGGGCCGCGGCCCGCTCAGAGCTCCGGCCGCCGCCGCCGCCGCCTCCCGGGGCCGCCGAGCGCCGCGCGGGGCCGCCGCAGCCGCCTGCGCCCCGCGGCCATCAGAGGCCGGCGCGGCGCCGCGGCCCCCGCATGGTGCGCGGAGCGGAGCGCAGCGAGGGGCGGCGGGCGCGGGGCGCGGGCAGGCTCCGGCTGCGGCGCTCCGGGAGCGACCCCTCCTCTTCTCAGCGCGGCTGCGGGGCGGCGGCCGGGCCCATGGCGGGGGCGGCGCGGGGCTCCCGCGGCCGCGCCGGGTGCGGGTGCGCTGCCGTGCGAGCGCGAGTGGCGGCGGCGGGGCCGTCACGTTGTGCTATACGTGCGGGGCCGGCAGCCGCAGCCCGGCGACGTCAAAGCTGCGTGGCTGCTGCTGCTGCTCAGCGCCTTCCTCCGCCTCCTCCTCCTCCGCCGCCGCCGCCGCCGCCCCCCGTGGCCCCGCGGCTCCGCCGCCGCCGCCGGGCGCGCATGGCCGCGGGCGCTGCCAAGGGGGATGCGCGGTGCGACCGCGCCGCTCCGGGATGCGCGGAGCGCTGGGACCCGCACGGAGCCGGTGGGTGCGGGTCTGGCCCGCTCTCTCCCGGGGTACGCTGAGCGCCGGGACCCGCACGGAGCCGGTGGGTGCGGGTCTGGCCCGCTCTCTCCCGGGATGCGCGGAGCGCTGGGACCCGCACGGAGCCGGTGGGTGCGGGTCTGGCCCGCTCTCTCCCGGGATGCGCGGAGCGCTGGGACCCGGGATGCGCGGCGCGGTGCGGCTCGCACGAAGCAGGGTTGCGCGGCGCGGCCCCGCTCTGTCCCGGGATGCGTGCCGCTGTCCCGCTCTGTCCCGGTCCCGCTCTGTCCCGGGATGCGCGGCGCTGTCCCGCTGTGTCCCGCTCTGTCCCGCTCTGTGTCTGTCCCGGTCCCGCTCTGTCCCGGGTCCCGCTCTGTCCCGCTCTGTCCCGCTCTGTCCCGCTCTGTGTCTGTCCCGGGATGCGCGCCGCTGTCCCGCTCTGTCCCGCTCTGTCCCGCTCTGTGTCTGTCCCGGGATGCGCGGTTTTGCGCGGTGCGGTGCGGACGGTGAGGGGCGCCCCGAGCCCGCGCTGCGCTCCCGGCCCGAGGGGTCCGTCCCGGGCTGCGCTTCCCGACCCTGAGCCCGCTGTCCCCCGCTGTCCCCCGCTGTCCCCCGCTGTCCCCCGCTGTCCCCCCGTTCCACCCCGCTCCCTCTCTGCCCGGTTCTGGGGCTCCCCCGCGCTCAGCCCCCGCTGCTTCCCCGGCCCCAGAGGGTAAAACCCCCGTGCTTGCTCCAGGCTGTGTCCCGGGACACGGGGCTGTGGCCCGTCACCAGCCTGGAGTGACAGAGGGGCACGGGGAGGTGACAAACCAGCTGCTCTCAGTGTCCGAGGCACCTCAGCCGCTGGGTTTTTATCCGGTTGCTCCCCCTTTGGGAATCTCAAATTCTTGAGCCCCCTGACTGGCTCCCAGCACCTTCCCAGCCTCCCTGATGTCCCTGTGTTTTGGGATCCCATGGGATTTGTCCTGGTCGATGTCCTTTTCTCTCCAATTCCTCAGAACAAACCAAGGATTTTTTTTTTTGTGGAAAAGGCTGCCCCTGTCCTCCTCCCTTTTTCCTTGATTTCTCCAAAGATTACACCGAACCCGTGGGCACCTTGGAGACTGAAGCACCCTGTGCCTGCACCAGTGAGGCTTCGTGCTCCAGGCTGGGACAGTGACAGTGCTCTGGGAGGGACAATGGCACTGCCAGGGGTTTTGTGACCCACAGGACACTGCTAACAAGGCTGGGACACTTCCAGAGCTCTCCTGACAGGGGCTTGAGCCTTTCCATCACTTCCATGAGCTCATCCAGCACATTGCTCTGCTGTCCTTCCGCCCCCAAAGGGCTCGGGGCATCCAATCCATCCCTGGAATTCCAGCAGGGAGTTGAATTCCATCCCAGCTGGGGCTGCTCCCTGTTCCCAGCCTGGTGAGGATGTGGGAAGTGGGAGAAGGGATGGGTGCAGCCCTTCCCTGTGCCTTTCCCATGCCCCCAGAGCTCAGGCTGCCACCCAGCACTGGCCAGAGCCCGTCCCCAGCCCGCTGCCATCCGAGGGTGACGCTGAGGTGTCCCCGTGGTTGTGCTGAAATCCCGTGTCCCCACCAAGGGACACCGTCCTGTGCCATTCCAGACACCCTCCCTGCCTCTGGCTGCACCCCACGCCCCTCAGTGCTTGCTGTCCTGTCTGAAGGGATCTCAGGTGCCTTCTCTGAGTCCTTCTGGTGCTCCTTTTCCTCTGGTTTCCAATTCCAAGGAGAATCTGGGGACACCTCCAGAGGTTGCACTGCCAGCGTGAGCTTCAGCTCATCACCTTCAACCTCCAGCTGACTGTTGCCTTTTTTCTGCCTTCAGCCCCTCCTTTTTCCCCTTTTCCCCCCTCTCCCTGCCACACCTGTGCCCTCCAAGCAACATCTGGGCCACATCTGGGCTGTGCCCATCCCAACCCAGAGCTCCCTTCCCAGGGATTTTCCCAACATTTTCCATTCTTACACCTCCACCCAACCATCCCACAGCACAAACGTGGCCACGCTCCAAAACTTTTTTGACCTCTGTGAGCATTTTCTTCACATGTAAAACGCCATCCAGGGCAGGTTTGGGAGGAAAAGCTGGAATTCCTCACATGGAAATGGTGGGAAAAGTGCCACGATCCCTTTTGGCTGCTCTGTATGTTGAACATTGAGAACACTTTAAAGGGCCGAGCCTTTCTCTCCCTATTCCCAACCTTCCCGTGGTTAATTCCAGGATCCTCCCAGCACAGCCAGATGTTCTTGGATCCTGGAGTCTGGAATCATCACCTGGCTGGAACAGCCCTTAGGAGGGATGCTGTTAGCAGGTTGTTAGCACACCACTGACAGCATTCCTTTGGCACTGGGGGGGGGAAGGAGAAAGAAACCTCACCAAAAAAACCACTTGGAATTAGGGAAAATAATTCCCAGTTGGAGTTTAAGCAGGTGCACAAATCTCCGTGGGGTAAGAGCCCAAATTATTTCTACCTGAGGTGTTTTTTTTTTAAAGTATTTTTTCTTAAAAGTTTAAATATTGCAGCTGCTGCTGAGATTTGCTTGAGGGTGTTCAGCTGTGATCCCAAATCCAGGAATCTTTCTGGACAGGGAGGAGAAATGAAGAATTAAAAGAACTCATCGAGTCAGAGACGATTTTCCTGAGTGTCCCAAATCACTTCCTCTGATGTTAAATATGGAGCTGCTCCCTGCTGGAATGATCTAACTGGGAATTCAGCTGGTCCCAGGATGTTCCCAGGAGCAGGACTGGGGTTTGTGGTCAGACTCCAGCATCTCCAGAACTTGTGGGAAAACAGTTCCCGAAGAATGGGAAATTCAGAGCCTGCAAGCTTCTCACGAGGCTCATCCAGCACTTTCAACCCCAAAACAAATCCTTGCTTTTGTCCCTGCTCCCAAATCCATGAGATTTCTCCTCTTACTCATCCAGGAATGGAGAAGTGTGTCCAGAGGGCCACCACACCTCGGTTGGGATCCAAGAGGTGGGAGAGCAGCAGGTGAGGATTCCTGAATTCTGGGGCTGGATTGGGAATCCCTTGGAGGGAATCAGGAGATTTGGGATTCATCCATGCCTTGCAGGGATGCAGCCAGGGACTCGCTGGGTGTCTTGGTCATGGGCAGAGCTCTCCAAACTCATAATTTTCACAAAATCCTGAGATTTTTTGCTTTCCCCCATGCACGAGGAAGAATGGAGAGGCTCCGATGGGATTTCCTTTTATTCAGGGAAATAAACTCACTTTCATTGCAATATTCCAAAGAATTCCCAAGCTTCATTTCCATACTGCAACAGGGGCAGCTTCGGCAGCACAACTGTTGTGGCTTGATAACTTCCTTTACCTTCACAACAATTCCCTTTTTCCCTGATTTCCTGCTGATCATGCACAAGACACTCGTTATTTTTGGAATGTCAGCCATCCTGGAGTTATCCTTGTCCATTCCTTGTTTGTCCAACAGCCAATCTTTTGGAAGGAACACATTTCTCATGTGGTTTCTTGATGATTTCCAGGATGGAAAATTCAAATTTTGTTGCCATCATTTTGACCACCCAATGGATTGAGCAGCCTCGTTTGTCACTGGTTAATTAAATGTTTAATTTCTTCAAGCACCAGGGTGTTTCTAATTTATAAAAAGGAAAAATGAAAGTATTTGTAGCAGGCCCTGGGATTTTGTTTTACCTGCTTCGTTTTTGCCATCCCTCAATTTCCAAGGATTGTCCAGTGAGTGATCACAGCTGGAATGGTTTGTCCATCAGAATATCAGGGTTGGTTGTTGTCTTGGTTTGAGCAGCCAGGTGTCTGCTGAGGGAGGCAGGAGCCTCCCCTGAAATGGAAAATGCAAACCCCCTCCCTCTGAATTGTTATAATTTTGAAATTAAGGGGCTCTCAGGCAAAGAGATGGAAATAGGAATAACAGTTCTTTACTAGGAAAATTAAAAATACAAATGCAATAGTACAAAAAAACAGAAAACAAAGCAGTGCCAGAGTGAGATCAGCCCTGTCCCCTGTGGGTCAGGGAGTGGCTCAGCCCCATCCCAGGGGGGCTCAGCCCTCCTGCAGTGCCAGCTGTGCTTCTGCTGGAGCAGGATCTGCACAAGGGGGGAGTTTTCCTTGGAGTTCCAGGGCTGGGGGAGATGGGCCTGGGCTCCTCTGGGAATGCAGGGGGAGAAAGCTGCTCCTCTGGGAATGCAGGGGAAGGAAGCTGCTCCTCTGGGAATGCAGGGGGAAGGAAGCTGTTCCTCTGGGAATGCAGGGGGAAGGAAGCTGCTCCTCTGGGAATGCAGGGGGAAGGAAGCTGCTCCCCTGGGAATGCAGGGGGAAGGAAGCTGCTCCCCTGGGAATGCAGGGGGCAAAGGCTGCTGTGCTGTTCCCAGGTCAGATTGGATCCAGGTAGGAATGTTTGGCTCCTCCCCTGGGCAGAGCATCTCCCCATGGATGATGGAATTTTCTCAGCCACGCAGGGACACTCAGTGGCCATGAACAGAAGATAATTAATAATTAATGGCCCATGGACAGCAGAGATCTCCTGGAGGGAGGATGGGCTGTGGAGAGATAAAGAAACTGCCCAAAGAGCAGCAGAGAGCTGCCCCAGCTCTGGCAGATGGGGACAGAACACACCCCCAGCCACATCCTGCATTTCCAACCTAAGGCAGGTATAAAAACCCCCTGGATTCCAAGGATTTCACCCACAGCCCTTCCCTGTGAGATACAGCATTATCCCTGACTGTGCTTCCCTCCCCTCAGCAATGAGGAACCATTGGGGAATTCTCAGATCCAGAGGATTGTGCAGAGGTGTGGAGGGAACAAGTTGCAGGTAAATAAAAACAACTTAAGACTTATTCACAGATAAATAAAATAATTCTGAATTAGTCTTACTCAAATAACAAAAATTCCGGCGTTTTAATGCTTCCCACATTCCAGCAGCCATTTCTTCCAGGAGCTCTTGGGCAGCTTTTCCATTTTATCCAGCACCAATCAGAAGGAAATTATTTCCTCTCTCCCCGTTGGGAGCAAGTCCACAAATAATTGAGATTTGACTGAAGGAGACCATTAAGCACCATTAAAATCCTGAGTAATTCCGTGGCGTGGGTGAGTTCTGTGGTGCTGTATTCCCTCCTTTTTCCAACTTAGAGTAAAAATGAAGGGAAAACTGAATAATTTCACTCAGTCTTACAGTTCTGATGGATTCAAGGTGTTTTAGAGTGGGAACAGATTATAGCTAATTAACAAATCATCCCAAAATGAGGTGGGGAAGCACTGGAAAAGGGAAATTGTGAATTCCCCATTCCTCGTGGTGTCCTGGAAGGGCTTGGAGCAACCTAGGATAGTGGGAGGTGTCCCAGAGGGTGGAATAAGATGAGTTTTAAGATTTCTCCCACCTCAAACCATTCCAAAAATTCCATTAACTGAAATGTTTCATGGAATTTTTCCTTTTCACACAGAATTTTCCCCTTCAAACCAGCAGAGGAACAAATCAGGAGCCAAAACACCAAATCTCATCCTTTAGGCCAGCACAGACTCTTCCTAACTTTATTCCCAGCCCTTGGATTTCAGTCCATCCCAGTGAGGCTTTCCCTTTTTGGGGCAGATACTGGAATTTCAAAGCACCACCAAATGCAAATTTTAAGTGGCTCCAGCTCCCCCAAAGGTTCCAGCAGCATCTTCCTTGTGTTTTTCCCACTCTCCTGATGAGCTGGAGTTTCTCCTGGAAATTGGAACCATTTTTAGGGCCAAGCCTCGGAGGGATGGAATTTTGGGGTAAATAACGGCGTGGGACAGACCCGTTAGCCACGCCTGTTTTCCTAAGTGGTGCAGTTCAAATCTTGGAATTATTCTAAATTCAGCCCAGCTTTGCTTCCCAGGATTGCTTGGAATTAAGAGGAATCCTCCCGATGGCCAAAAATGTGTATGGATGAAACAATTTGTGCTGCTGGTGGGATATACACATGCCTCAGGCCAAGCTTAATGTTAGGCTGTGCCTTAGGCTGGATCTCTCTGTGGGGTTTCCCTTTTTTCCAGATCAAAACATCCCAGGATAATGTCAGGGATGTCAATGATGTAAAAGTCTGTGAGATGTTTAATGGCTGGGATTTGTTGTGTGGGTTACTGCTCTGGATACAGGAATTCAGGATTCAGGTTTTTCAGGGATGGCTGGGAAAGGGGACTCCAAGCCCAGCCACTGGGAATGCCCAGGAAAATCATGGAAAGGTTGGGGTTGGAAGGGGCAGAGGGGACCCTGTGGCTCTCACAGCTCCTGCCAGGAGGGGACAGCCGGGGGGTCGGGCTCTGCTCCAGGAACAGGGACAGGAGGAGAGGGAACGGCCTCAGGCTGGGCAGGGCAGGCTCAAGGTGGAACCAGCAGGAATTTCCCCATGGAAATGGTGATTCTTGCTGATTCCAGAGCTGCAAACCAGCAGCAGATCCAAGAGATCCCGTGGGGCTGGGCGTGGGGTGCCCACAAGGGACATTCATGATCCATGGAATCATGGAATGGTTTGGGATGGAAAGGAGTTTGGAGATCATTTAATCAAGCCCCTGCCATGGCAGGGACACCTCCCCCTGTCCCAGCTGCTCCAGCCCCAGTGTCCAACCTGGCCTTGGGCACTGCCAGGGATCCAGGGACAGCCACAGCAAATCTGGGATTTCCAGCCCAGCCCCTCCCCACCCTCCCAGCCAGGAATTCCTTCCCCAAATCCCATCCAATCCACTCTCTTTTAGTTTAAATCATTCCCCCTTTTCCTATCACTCCATGCCCATGGAGAATTCCCTCTCCATCATTTTTATAACTCCTGAAAGGCCTGGATGTCCTCAGAGTCCCTTTCACCACACAACACCTCCTGCCTGGAGCTGGGTTATGGAACCTCAGAATCCCAGTTTGGCTTGGACAGGACCTTGGAGCCCATCTCATTCCAAACTCTGCCACGGAAGGCTGGAATTGTTCAGGATTTGGCTCCTGACCACGGTGCTGCTGCTCCTCAGCAGGGTGTGGATGTTCCTGGTTTTGTGTGTTCTCGCCCAGCTCTGGCTGCAAAACTCAGCCCTGTGGTGTCAAATAATCAAAATAATCTCGTGTCCTGCTGTGCCAACATTCCCTGGCATGGGAACAACGAATCCCTGGGGACAACAGGAAATAAATGGGTCACATTTAATTAACCAGTGACAAACGAGGCTGCTCAATCCGTTGGGTGGTCAAAATGATGGCAACGAAATTTGAATTTTCCATCCTGGAAATCATCAAGAAACCACATGAAAAATGTGTTCCTTCCCAAAGATTGGCTGTTGGACAAACAAGGAATGGACAAGGATAACTCCAGGATGGCTGACATTCCAAAAATAACGAGTGTCTTGTGCATGATCAGCAGGAAATCAGGGAAAAAGGGAATTGTTGTGAAGGTAAAGGAAGTTATCAAGCCACAACAGTTGTGCTGCCGAAGCTGCCCCTGTTGCAGTATGGAAATGAAGCTTGGGAATTCTTTGGAATATTGCAATGAAAGTGAGTTTATTTCTCTGAATAAAAGGAAATCCCATTGGAGACTCTCCATTCTTCCTCGTGCACGGGGGAAACAATTAAATTTGGAGCTTCTCACTGCAGCCAGTCCACACTAAACACAGGGTGGATTTATTAGCAGGAGATATTTCCACAGGCATGGAATTTCTTTGGAGTGGTCATGAGCCAAGGGATCCAGCACCACCCAGTCCTGCTTTGCTCTCCAACCACAAATCCATGCAGGAACCTGTTCCCCTTCCAGAAGAACCCACTGCGATTAAGGATGAAAAGGAATATCTTTATTTTAATCCAGTTTTCAGCGGAGCCAATGGGATGCTAGGAGTTTCCTCCTGGATTACGTGGGGTGGAACCTCTTGGGAAGGCTCTAAAGGATCAGTCTCACACTTCCCAGGAAGCTGGGGATGAACAAATTCAATTTTCCCTGCGCTATTGCACTGCGAGTGTCACTGACACAGGACAGGGAGCTTAGAGGTGTCTGGAGAAAGTGTTATTAAAATTCCAGCAGGGTGGATGCTGCAGAGCTGGGTCAGGATTGGGAATATTCCCAACTGAGGTGTGAGGGTATGGAATTGGTTCTCAGAGAATTATGGAATCATTGAGGCTGGAAAAGCCCGCCCAGCATTAAGGTTGGAAAAGTCCATCCAGCCTTGTCCCCAGCACTGCCCCAAGGCCACCACTGCCCTGTGTCCCCAAATGCCACATCCACAAGGATTTAAATCCTTCCAGGCATGGGGACTCCACCCTGTACCTCTGCCAGGGATGGACAACAGATTTAGGGAAGAAATTTTTCCAAATATCCAATATAAACATCACAGAATCACTGAGATTGGAAAAGAGCTCCAAGACCAGAGTCCCAGCTGTGCCCCATGCCCACCTTGTCCCCAGCCCAGAGCTCTGAGTGCCACCTCCAGGGGACACCTCCAGGATGGGCACTGCAAACCTCCCTGGGCAGTGCCAATCCCTGAGCCCCCTTTCCATGGGGAAATTCCTGCTGTGCCCACCCTGAGCCTGCCCTGCCCAGCCTGAGGCCGTTCCCTCTCCTCCTGTCCCTGTTCCTGGAGCAGAGCCCGACCCCCCGGCTGTCCCCTCCTGGCAGGAGCTGTGAGAGCCACAAGGTCCCCTGAGCCTCCTTTGCTCCAGGCTCAGCCCCTTCCCCGCTCCTCAGGAACTCTCCA